GAATCTAATTTTTCGAGTCGGCTTAAACGGATTTTACTTAATAGACTTTTTATCTAAATTGCTCTCTAGGTGGACTGTCATTCAGATAAAACATTCAAATAGTGGAAAATTTTAACAGCTACTGTTTAAACTCTTTACTTTTTTCCTCGTGACAGTAGTAGGATCCGTGCAAGGAAATTTAATTCATTGCCCTGATTTACTTACCACGCCACGAAAAACCATAATTTTATAACCGCCTGTAATTTAAGAAATACCGCTCGGATTTTGATGAAATTTCCCCATAAGGTTACTACTATGCTGAGAATGAAAAAGCATTGTAGTTTTTGAAAATCGATTCAGTGGCGACGGAGCTAAACACGAAAAATAAAATTCGTTTCAGAGGCTCCTGATCATGTCCGGAAATTTTTGTCGGGGTCGAAACTTGGGGGTTGGGGGTTGTATTTATTTTAGCAATATTTGGATATTAGGAGTAGTACCACTTTAGCGTTCTGCGATGCTTTTATAAATGATGACTTTATCTAAATTGTAGGATTCCCAAATGTTTTCGCCTAATTTGTGTTACTCAGTTTATGATGGTTTTCTGAATATTTCGTCAAGTAGATTGACTCAGTACTTTTGATACATTGATATACAACAGACACGGACTGACAAACCGACATAAATGAGAAGCACGGACTTGCGTGACGCAGATATCTTAAAGCAACAGAAAATATGTGAACCGAGTTTAATAATTCCATCGTTTAGGTAATCTTAGGTTTTGAAAATTGATTCAGACTCGGTGGAAACAAAATCGCTGGAACATAGTGTTACAACGTTTCGGAAATTTCTGCACATTTTCAGACATTGGAGGGGATGAAAATTGTACGTTGGAAGCTATATGCAAGTAAATGGTTGTAAATTGTTGCCTATTTGGTATCAGTGAAAAAACTTCTATTACACTGATCAACAGCCAAAAAATATCCTAAATAAAATCAACAAAATATTACTATTTTTAGTGTGCTAAAACCGGAATGAAACTTATTTTTTCAATATTAGTTCATGTTTTAGAGATACGGTAATTATATGTGTTCCTGCTGTGACAGTGTTAATATACTGTAATTCACAAGAATGCACGTGCTACATTTTTATATTCGGCAAGGAAGGATGATGTAATCGGCATGATTGTGTTACGTTATACATACGTGTACATTATATTGTTTTATATTAGCCATTTTTTCCTCAATTGGCTGACAGCGTTCATGCAAGATGTCTCGAAAGTGTGTAAACAATCCAGATCAGTTTTGTTACGTGTGTGGTGATGTGACTTTTGCGTCTCAGAGACGGTCTATTACTCCACTAATAACAAAGGCATATCAGCTTTATTTCGGTTGCAAACTAGGTGATCAAGACAAACAGTGGGCACCCCACATCTGCTGTAATACATGTGCTTCAAGTCTGAGGAGCTGGTTAAATGGCAAAAAACGGTCTATGCGCTTTGCTGTCCCAATGGTTTGGAGAGAGCCTACAAATCATACTAATGATTGTTACTTTTGCATGGTACCTTGTGTTGGACAAGCCACAGGTATGTCCAAGAAAAAAAAATCGGTTATTAACTACCCAAACATACATCTGCGATGAGACCTGTGCCTCACAGTGACGAAAATCCTTTTCCAAAACCCCCAGAATCCTACACTTGCGAATCAGAAAACGAATCAGATCATGGCGATCGAGTGATTCGTCAGGAAGAAGATATGCCATCAACGTCAAGAGATCCTGATTTTATACCGAGCACGTCATGCCACCAACCGCACAAAATAACACAGTCAGAATTAAATGATCTTGTAAGAGATTTAGAACTTCCAAAATGTAAGGCAGAGTTACTTGGATCAAGACTGCAGCAGTGGAACTTGTTAGAAGACGATGTTTCGGTATGTGTTTTTCGTAAACGCCACAAAGACTTTTTCAACCATTTTTCAATATGGAGAATAACTTAACGGCTTACTGGCGGATTTAAATATAAACTATAACCCAGAAGAATGGAGATTGTTTATAGACAGTTCAACATTGAGTTTAAAGGCAGTGTTATTGCATATTGGAAATATTTTACCATCTCTTCCTGTAGGGTATGCAGTTCACATGAAAGAATCATATGACAATATGAAGTACGTATTGACATGCATAAAATACGATGAGCACCAATGGCATATTTGTGGCGATTTGAAAGTTGTTGCACTTTTACTTGGGCTGCAGCTAGGCTACACAAAGTTTTGCTGTTTTTTGTGTGAATGGGACAGTCGGGCTAAGGCACTTCATTACACCAGACAAAACGGGCATGTTCGTCAATTCCTAGAGCCAGGTCAAAAAATGCATATGCCATTAGTAGATTCGAAAAAAAATTTATTACCACCACTGCATATCAAGTTGGGCCTAATGAAACACTTTGTCAAGGCATTAGATAGAGATGGGTCAGCTTTTCAATACCTGCGTCAGAAATTTCCAAGACTAAGTGAGGCAAAGGTTAAAGAAGGTATTTTTGTTGGGCCACAGATTCGAAATATTTTGAAAGATACACAGTTTGAAAACACTTTAACAGGTATTGAAAAAACTGCTTGGAATGATTTCCGTCTGGTGGTCACTAATTTCTTGGGAAATAGAAAAGCTGACAACTATAAAAGCCTTGTCAAAAATATGCTGTCATCGTATCAAAAGATGGGCTGTAATATGTCTTTTAAGATACATTTCCTACACTCACACCTGGACTTTTTTCCCAATTGCGGAGCCGTAAGTGATGAGCACGGCGAACGTTTTCATCAGGATATTTCAACAATGGAAAAAAGGTACCAGGGAAAGTGGAATCCTTCCATGTTTGCAGACTACTGTTGGACTCTTGGTAGAGATGCTCAAGAAACGATCCATAAAAGAACAGCAAAAAGACAGCGCATATAGTGATTGTTATAAGTATATGAATCTTGTTACTTTTTTTAATATATATTTAAAAATAATTTTTTTTTTCTAAACCGCAACTAATTTTTTTATTTCATTGTCATTTTTGGATTCAGCGCCCCAAAATTAACAAAGAAGTGCACTTTTCCCACAAGATACAATTAAAAAACTAAAATTTGTTGTCCAGTGTTATTAAGAAGCTGCTGGTCTCACTGATACTATGCACCTGTTGGACATAATAAGTCACACATATTTTCCCTACATGTGCCATGTTTACAAATATTTGATCGATTTGCTCTATATAGTTTGATATGCAGAGGTCGAAGATTCATCGTATCTAAGTGAACCTATGAATTCCAGATCCCCGAGGACTTGATTTGACACATCTCGTCAATCACAGCTGCTAGCTAGGTTATTTGTTCAGAGCTAACTTTTCTCCGCACAATCTTCTCGCTCTGAACAAGGCCCAGATGAGACCTTGCCTCGAGTACTGCTTACATGTTTGAGGTTCTGCCGGCCCGGCTACATTGCCCAAACTCGATGCTGCTCAGAGGAGGCTTTGCTCCTCAAAAGTATTCTTCATGATGCTGCCGCGCGTTGAGCCTGCCAGACGGACCTTACAGGCTTCCGCCTCTGATCCCAACTCTTTCGAACTTAACACATCGAAAACTGGCCGGTACGCCCACTCCTTTGTTCCTGTTGTGTCGAGATTGTGGAACAGTCTGCCCGAGAATGCGTTTCCCACTTCTGCTCCTTATATCACGTACATAACTGATCACAAGCAAAACTTAATGAACTAGTAACTGTGTATTACTTGATCAGAAGTGGGATAATAAGAACTTTACATAAAAGCACAAGATGTTCAGTATATTAAAATTGCAATTTATGCCGGGTGGATATATGCTGTCAACGTGCATCACCCCAAATACCACCAGCTTCAACGACACACATTCTTTGCATAGTCCATCTGTGTATGAATGCTGCATGGGAGAAAATCCACACGCCGGGACACAAGTCTGACATACTTTTAATTCATCATTCTTGGCATTTCTTCCAGCTTGATTTATGTTCTTCCACCTCCTTCCACCATTTTCTGTCAGTGTTATCGTAGAAGGCCTTGCCTGTCACATTTAAATGTCACCTTCGCTGGCGGCTTTGTTATATGTTTTGAGGAAGTTTCTTCCTTGATGCACGAGGATCGATAATTCTGACAGTAGTGAATAGTCCGGTAAATACATTCCATTTGCCAAAAATTCGAAAGTAACAATAGACAGTAAATAAATTTGTGGCGAATGACTTTGCTGCCGTTATAGCTGCGGTTTATGCTTTAAAACTATTTTTTGTATTAGTTTCACGATACCACTAGACGATGACTTTAACCGTAAACAAATATTTATCAGAATATGGCATTACCCTTATTGGCAACGAATATCATAGACCGCAAATATCTTCAATTCGTGTCGATATGTACGTCTGCGATGAGTGGCGTATGCCCTAATTTATTTATTTATCTATGTGGCTTGTGACTTCTTCATTCTTCAGGAACATTCATATTTTTTCGGAAAAACTCTCACGTATCTGCCACGAAAAACTACTTGCCATGTCACATTATTTTCAAAAATGAATTTATTTTACGAACATGCGTTATATTTCGATTCTGTCGTCACCAAATCTTTGTTCCTGATAATGTAAACCTGAACCATTTCAGTCGAAAACATCAGGATTTACACGAAAATTATAGCTTTCACGAACTAAAGTTAATCTGGCCCTTCAATTTGAATTAATACCATGCTAGTAGATGCAAATGTCATCTTCTCTATTGTCAAATGTGGCATAACCAGGACCAAACAGCTGTTAACTTGTGTTAACCTGCATTGTATCTCCTTTATTGTGTTGTTAAATCATAAAGTTGAATGATAATTTGTTGCGCTATTAGAAAAACAACCATTTTGTAATATTTTACAGAATCAAGTGATTGTTCATATTGACTTTTATAAAAATGTAATAGACTGCTTTAATTGTACAAAAGATACATTACTGAACTAAATACGGGCAGAAAAGAATTAATAGAAGCAGGCATGGAAGCAAACGACGACAAAATCAAAGTGCTACAAGATACGTCAAGTAAGGAACAAGATTTAGAAAAATCAAACAGTGCTAGACCATAAGATTAGAGAAACAGATTACTCGAATAATTTAAAGGACCAAACTACAATCAAAGTTGTATTAGATAAGCAAGAAATAAAAGTGCCTGGTTTTTATAGAGCATAAGACCAAACTTCATCAAAAACGAAGGAACTTGAAATACTTCAATCAACAGTCGGTATATAAATCTGATGGAAACTGATATTTCTTGATACATTTCAAAGTGAAACGGTACCAATTCTCAAGGCAGACATTTTAATGTTCTTTTTAGGAATGACTGTGTCATTTAGACAAGAAAGGGTACCACATCAGAATACATGTGCAGGAATTTATATTGATCTGATGAAAAGTACGTGCCATTTCGTGTAGTGGTAGAAGGCGGTACTATAGAAAAAGATTTCAATAAGCTGATATTGTTATATCCAAGAACAAGCCAACTCAACATTTCACGTGCTCGGTACCCAAGTTGGTACCATACAAAAAGGTTCGCGAGGATAGTACGAAATGAGCTGTGCTTAAAGAAAACACATCACATCATGCATTGAATCTCGTTAGTAAAGTGAGCTTCTATACCGAGGGTGGTGCCCAACGAAAATGATTCGGCAGGTCGTACCTTTCGAAGATTTCTCGTAAAAGGGTACTAATATTGCTCTGTTAAATGAAGAACGTATCATTTACATCGACTTAAAGAAGCGGTAATTTGAATCGAGGTTAGCAATTTATGAAACAACCCTACAGGCAGTACCATATGCTGAGAACCTTGTACATGAAGAATTGTGATCGCTCTGATCGTGTCATTCGTATATTTTGAGATGAGATCTGAGCATAAGGGTGATGCCAATGAAAAATAATCCTTCCGGAAGTACCGTATGAAGAGAAACTTGTATAAAAAGACTGACATTATTCTGAATGTATCACTGACATATTTAATCCAGTGTATTTGACCCTGTGGGTGGTACCCTATAGACAATCAATTCTGCAGACGAAAGTCTTACATAATTGAAGACTCACATTATTCCGAATGTGTCACCGGCTCATTTAATCCAGTTAGTGGCGTGTATTTGACCTTGAGGGTAGTACCCTATGAAAAAGACTATACGGAACTGCCGCGAGCGCGTGAGGGGGATGATGTTCGAAGTGGGTAGCATCGGTGGTAATAAACTGGACGCGGCCGCCGCCCTGCGCCAACCGCCGCCCGCAGCGCGTCAGAGTTACGGGGGCGGCGTGAAAAGTCAAGTACTGCGGCTGTTACGAAGATCCAAGTCGGCCGCGCCGGCTGACAAGAGAGCGACATCTGACGGCTGCGGAGCGTACTACAATCACAGTCGGGTGCATCCGCAAGGGAGGCAGGTGGTGAACGTTGTGGAAGGGTTGCCGCCCATTGTAGTTGGTACTGGTGGGAGGCATCACAAGAGCAACAAGGTAATTGATTAGAATACTGTTTTGAGAATTGTTTTTTAATAAGAATTTGTTTATAAGCTCTATTATCGTACATAGCGTTAGTGCAGTGCAACTGCAACCGCTAGTATAAATCCTGATCGTACAGCAGTCGCCAACCTGTCAGTGACTGCCACGCAAATTCCGTTAACTCTGCTACGCTATACATACAGGGTGACTTCGAAGTTGAGTCATTTATTTTAACAGTGAGTAGATCTGATCAAAAGAAATGTTTTTTTCCTTTACCATTTTTCTGGTAAAATTAAAGTAACAAAGTTATAGCCCTTTGGAAGTTTGAGTATCGCCCTGTCTCAATAATAATATTATGTGCTCGTGTTTGGTTCATCGCATCGGAAACAAAAAAGCGAAAGAATTTGGAACGATGTTTTTACAATTATTTTATTCAGTTGTATACAGTCAGTGTCAGTCGGTAACGCGTGAGTGAATGGTGGTGTCTGTTGCGTGGCTCAAACGAAATAAAAAATGGCACATGTTTATGCGGATCGGTTTCCCAATCGAGTGCAACCAACCCCTCGTGCCTTTGTTAATGTAGTACAACGGGCTCGTGAATCAGGTGACTTAAGACCTCACAGGGGACGGCATGCCGGTGCTCCAAGACCTCACGATCAAATGCAGGTCCGCACTGAAATACTTGCCCATAAATTGGAAGCAGTGCTCGATGCACTCTCTTCACCGAGCATGAATTTTGATAGTAAAATTCAATAATTTGCAAGCGTTGTTCGTTCGTAAGTCGATTCATGGTTAAATTATAGACCAAACTGAACAAGTTTGACAATGACACAAGACACGATTCACGCGTCATCTGTCAAAAACAGTGTTGCCAAAAAGATACTAGCAAAAAATCACCCATTATAAGGCCCGATTTTACTGTTGACTCGCGGGATCCGAAATGTCGATCCGGATCATTTTAGACCAATGAGAAGGCGTTTTTCTAGTAATGGATCAAATTAATATAGTCATGTCTTTCTAAAATAGCTGTCAAACTAGCGAAAAAATACATCTAGTACCCATGTGAAATCACGAAATTGTTTATAAATCACCTGGTTTAGCTACAAAAACATACTTTTCCACTTGATCCGGAGACCAAAACCTATAATCCGGATCAACAATGACCAATTACAAAACGTTCTCGTAAAACTGCATCGTAAATTGGCCAATCGGAAACAAATATCATAAATCCACTTTGTAGATGATAGAACCAAATTTAAAACAAACCTAAACACCTGAACACCTGTGGGTATTGAAAAAAGGATATATCGGTTGATACTTAGGTGTAGATTTCAACCAACTCCTTAATTATACTAAGTGACATATAAATCCGAACACCCAGTTTAAATGGTTTTATTTTAATAAAATTTTGTATAAGTACTTAATGAAGCATAATAAGTAAATGATAAAAATTTCAAAATGATTGCACTGCTTTAAAGCCCTTTGACCTTCAATAATGTGTGGATGCACCCTGATGTGCTACGCATTCTCCAACGCGCCTAGGCATGCTTCTGATCAGGTGGTCAATGTCCTCCTGTGGTATCTCATTCCAGGCAACCACCAACTCCTCTCGAAGTGCTTCTAGAGTCTGAGGAGGACGTGGCAAATTGAGCAATCTCCTACCCATCATATCCCACACGTGCTCAATTGGGGATAAGTCGGGAGATCTTGGTGGCCATGGTAACAATGTGACATCATTATGTTGAAAGAAGTCTATTGTGACTCTTGCAACATGTGGTCGGGCATTATCTTGTTCGAAAGTTGGATCTGCCAGGGTGTCAAGATAGGGTAAAAGATGGGGTTCTAGAACTTCGTGGATATAACGCTGCGCGTTCATGTTACCTCTGATGAAGATTAAATGTGACCTGGAACCATCAGCTATAGCACCCCAAACCATAACTCCAACAGTGTGATGAACAAAATCGAGACTCGTCACTAAAGACAATACTGTTCCATTCCTGATCCCAGAGTGACCGTTGTCTGCACCACTCAAGGCGATTACGTCGGTGTTCTCGAGTTAAAGGAGGACCGAGTGTGGCCGGTATGAAAACAAGCCAAAACTTCTCATTCGTCGGTAAACACTTCGCATGCCAATAGGTCTTCCGTGTTCTGCAAACCATTCATTTGCAATGGACCTGGTAGTGGAGAAACGGTCCCTTAAGGCCAATAATCTTAGGCGGCGATCTTCACGGTCTGTTGTTCTACGGCGGCGTCCAGTGCCCCTTGCTCTTTGCGTACGGCCTTCTCGAAGCCATGCCTGATAACACCTAACCACAGTGTCTACACTTCTTTGCACTCTAACTGCAATTGCCCGAAAAGAAAGTCCAGCTTCCCGAAGTCCCACTATACGGCTCCTATCAAACTCACTAAGTTGACGAAATCGTACAGGTCTCTGTACTCTAGGCATCGTAACCGATCGTAAAGGATGTCAAGAACCAAAATCCGCCAACGTTGATTCTTTACTGCGGCGGAAATATTCATTTTTAGGGCGTTAGTGAATTAAAAAAAAGCAGTATAAAAACCGAAATGTCCAACTGATAAGGATGAAATTTTTTTCACTTGTTATTTACAGTAAGATAAATACATTCACCAACTTTTATTAAAATAAAACCATTTAAGCTGGGTGTTCGGATTTATATGTCACTTAGTATATTTTAGAAGGAACGTGTCGAAGTTCATTAGATCCATTATTAGAAGGATGCCGTCTCATTGGTCCATTATGATTCGGACCAAGAATTTTGAGCTCCTGTAAGTAAAATCGTACCTAAGAGCCTTATGCAACCAACATTCTACTTCAAGTTTGTCCCCGCGAAACTCTTCGGTTTTTTGTAACCTTAGGAGTCGAACATTTTCAAAAACATCCACAAATATTTGAGGCTTGATGTGAATCTGGTACAGTAAGTGTCGCCATCACCAGTGGATGCCTTCTTCATCAACGGATCGAAGTTAGCTACAGGGCCCAGATAGTACTCAGTCTCGAGTCCTGCTCACGTGCTTGGAGTGCTGCCGGTCGACGATCTTCTACTGTTCTTCTGCTATGTCAAGAGGCTTTGCTCCTCAGAGGTTTTCTCCATAATGCCGCCGCGGGTTGGCGATGTCAGGCTTCTGCCTTCCATCCTAACTTTTTAGAACTGGCCGGTACGACCGCTCGTTTGTCCCAAAGGTGGAGACTTTACCAAGTTCCACTAACGCTAGGCAGTTCAAAAATCGAATTATATCTGTGTTTATAAGCTCCTTATAGCAGTCGTGGTGACCCAGTGTTTAGGTTTCATCCTCCGCGGCTGCATCATTATCAAAAATCATATTACAAAAATTCCAGTGTTACTCTTGCAAATTTTCTAAAACGTAATTTCACTATGTTTTGCTGCCATGAATTTCAAATAACCCCAGAAGTAAAGTCTGCAACAAGTCTATTATTGGAACACAACTTCATTCCTGCATTGAAATTCAATAAATTTTACCTTCCCAAAACAAAAATGTAGAAACGTTAATGGATAAACTTACTAATACCTCCGATATTACGCCGCATAATGAAAAGGACTAACTCAAAACATTAATCACACTCACCCAGGAGTTCGTAATATTGATATTAGAAAAGTTTTACCGTAATTTTCGCGAAAAGTAGAAAACACATAATTTCATTATGTATGAGGTACGCTGTCCCATCAGCAAAAATTAGAGAGTTTTTTTAGAATCTCTCTGAAAGATGGATAGAGTACTCGTATATAGTCGCTTTAGAATGCATATCAAACAAGGATTTTTGAAAACATTAGTTCAACACGAGCTACTGGTTTTACCGATTTTTATACATCTAGCAATTTTGAAGACCGGACAGAGGTGTTTTATTTCTATGGCAATTTTTTTGCGGCATTGCCGCTTTGAAAAGTATTCCTGAAGTTATCA